GGGCCAGCGTTGCCACAGCTGCTTTTGGGCCTCAGGCACCCACAGCTTCTCGCGCAGCCCTCGCCTTGTAGCTGATTCACCATTTACAGTCACTCACACACGACCCTACAAGGGGTTGCTGGTGCATGCAGGTCTTGGGGATACAAACAGCCCTGATCTCTGATGGGATGTTGCGCTGCATGCTTGCTGGTCAGGAGTCAGGCTTGCCAAAGTCAAGCCATTCATCACCATTTTGCAGTGGCTCAGAGCACCCAGTTGCTGCTGGGGCCAGGGCACTCAGTTTTGCTTTGCGCTAAAATATTCCGATGGATTTCCTGGAAAGCTCTACGCAAGGCCAAACCAGAGCAAGATGTTCTGAACCCACGAGGCCTCTGAGTTAGCGAGTGCTGGCTGAGCCGACGGCGAAGGCAAAGGCGAAGGCGCGCGAAACGGAAGAGAGCTTTTGCAGAAAGAAGCCCATATTACAACTGTCGGATTCAGGGGGTTTACGTCGGCGTTCCGTGGCGCAGGTGTTCACGCCTTATCAACTTGTCCTGACACCTGCGTTTTTGAGAGTTCCAGCCAGGCCAATGAAACTGTTAGGGTTTAGGTTTTTGGGTTCGGATTACTGTTACTAGTTACTAGTAATACCATTGCCATTAGTACTATTTATTCCTCAATGCTATTGCCCAACTTGCTCTTGCCTTGCTGACACGCCACTCGTTTGCAGTGAAGCAGCCTGCAGCTTCCTGCAGCAGCTTGTAGCAGCCTGCGCCATTTCCTCAGGGCCCAGCTTTTGCCGAGTTTGGCCTTGGCCATGGCCAAGAGGCTGCGCAGAACTTCGCCACGCCGATTCAAAGGTCCAAGCCCGACCATTCCGCTAAGGCTGTAGCCACAGCACGTGGCAAGGATTTGGGGTGAAACTGGGTTTCTGCTAAGATACTGGCATAACAAATCCTTACTATACCACTATATGATCATATCAGCCCGTAATATGCTAGCTTAGTTTAAGTTCCGTAACAGCAGGCCCGGACATGCGCGTGGGGCTGTTCAACATCTCCACAGGCTCACGGGCTCACTCAACAGTTTGACCCCGCATAGGTTCCCGCCTAGAACAAGGCAGCGCGTGTGTTGTACATGTGCCAAGGTCGTACATGCAACCATCTCCTTTCTTCCTCATTCCCATGTCCAGCCACGTTCATTGGGTGTGAGCGGGTCGTTTGCAAGACAAGTTGCGCATGTGGCGGCACGAAGTCTGCCGCAAAGCATCTAGTGCATATACCTGACATGTTTTCCACGTCCGTCCCATACTGGCATATGTGGACATCAACGACCTCCATGGCCCAGCATCCCACAAGATGTTTTAATTTGCTCTTGCAAGGCCCAGCAGACCCCCTTAAAACAAGTAAATGGGGCCTGCAATTTGAACGGAATGGTTCTGGAGAAGTCCTATGCTTCAAAGGACCAAGCATGTGCTCAAATCCCCTTGCCCTATTTTAGGGTAAGGGCCTTCGATTGTCAGTTTTCAGCATTCTGCGATCACAAGCCTTGGCAAGGCTGTTGCTGCAGCACTTGTGGGGTTCGCAAAATCAGGGCCCAATTCAAAAGAGGAAGCTATGTGGGCTAGAGAGAACATGTCCCCAGCACATAGGCTAGGTAGCATTTTGCCCAAAAAGGTCTGCCCACCTCACTTGCCCGCGATGGTTTGCCACGGATGTCTGCTTTGATTGCTGGCAGCCTGCGTCTTTAAGGATCTTTGCATGTGAATATGCAAGCCAGCATGCACTTGCTTCGCCAGAGTCTAACCGCACAAGCTCATACGAGATTTTTGGCGTGGACAGCTCGTCTCAAAACCGCCCCAGCGGCCAAGCGGGCACTTGGCAACCGTGTCCTCTCTCAAGTGCGGACCTGTTGGAAAGAAGGGCTGCAGCTCCATAGCAGGGGTGGAATGGTGGTTGTCGGTTGTAAGTGGCATGCCATCCCCTGCCTCATCCTCAAGTAGATGGACTTCGAAAGCGGGAAGCGCGGTAAGAGACAAATGTCCCACCTGTCAACGACATATACTCGTACTCAAAGGGGACTCATGTTGCGTAACACTGGCACCACTCATCTCCCCAAAATCAGACATGGCCCTGGAAAGAACTTCAGAATCGGGATTGGCATATGGTCTGATGGCCTTCAAGAAATTTGAGAGTGTGGAACAAGTTCTCTGAAGCTTATGAACATGATGTCATAGTTCCATCGAGGCAAAGACGTAAGAGACAACATATTCCGACCAGCAAACATCATAGGTAGTTGCTATTGTCCAAATTCCTAGTATCCTCCTTAATAATCCCTATAACCATAGTACTCCCCTACATCATCCTCTATAAGCCCCTTAAAGGAGTTTAGACCATAGCTCTTACGTAGGGGCAATAATACAGCACAGAGGGTTTTGGGGGCCTTAAGGCATGTCCATTGCTCACCTTGTGAAAGTCCCTTGTTGTGATTTGATTTTGGGGGCGCTGACGGGGGAAGACTCTTTTTCGAATTTCGCCCAGATGTTCAATCCTAAACCTTTTAAACCCTAAGGCCTAAATCCTACATCCTCAGCCCCAAACCCTAAAAGAGGATTCTGGGTGCCCTTGATGGATTATGCGGGGATTGTTGTTAAGAAGCCCCTGTTTTCCGAAGAGTCTCTACCTGAACGAATTCACATTCCCAAGTGGTAGTCTCAGAGGACTACGATGCACCCAAAATGTCGGGGACATCTGGGTGCAGAACTTGTTTTCTGCTTTCCGGAGCCTTACCCTAAACCCTAATGTCCTCCGCTGGTAGAGTGATCGCATGGGTTCCTGCAAAGCATTCGTCAATTTGGTGATGAGATGTGCTTTAAGGATTCGTAGAGCCAGAAAATTTCTGTACCTAAGTCTAGGCTAAAGTACTGCTGCCACCCTCACCCACGAAATGCTTGATTCTTCAGCATTTGTTGCTCTGATACTGTACGAAAACAGAAAATGCAGAAGAATGAAGCTCGAAGCCTGCACGAAGTCTGATGATTAAGATCATGATGACAATGATGATGTCGATGATGATGTCGATGATGATGTCGATGATGATGATGATGATGATGATGATGACGATAACGATGAACTGATGAATCAGGAGACAGGGGAGCAGGGATCAATGAAGGTAATGGCAGAGGGCTCTGGATTCAGATGAGGCTGATTGTATCACACGAGACTTTGGTTACTGAGCTGAGAGAAGTTCAAGTCTCCGCCCATTGGACCCCAAACGCGAAATCGCAGTTGCCCAAAATTAGGGTACCCATAATGAGAATTATTGAAGTAGATTATGTGGTCTAGAATCGGTCAATATATTGGGGTCCCCATATTTAGGGACATTACCAGTTCCTAAGCCAGGTGACCTCGACTTCGACTGTTCCTCAGCCATTTCTGTCAAGCACTTGGCTGCACCCTTTGCACCTGGCCGAGATCATGACAGGTCTTCGCTGGTTGTTGTTGGTGCTTTGTGGGGCCATCGTTGCTGGCTCCGAGAATTCTAGCTGCCACAAGGACGCAGCATCGCGTGGAGAGTGTGACTTAATGGTGTTTGGTAGGGAATGAAGAAAGGGAACCCCCAGACGGTAATTGAGGTTTGGGGACGTGGGGTTAGGGCTCTAGGGCTTGACTACTTCAGGGATCCGTTCATTGATATAATATAAGGGTATGATATAGGGCTATATAGGGATAATGGAAATGAAAACGGGAAGTATTACAATTCTGCCAACCACCGACAAAGGTGAATCACAGGCTCTGCTGCAGACCCGCCCTCATGAACGAAAGCTTCTGGAAGTTGAACGGTGCGCAGTTGCTTCCCTGAGTTGTAGTCTAAACTCCGTACAAGGGGGTTACATAGGGGATTACTTTAGGGTTTAAGAAGGCGGGGAAGCTAGGAATCTAGACTGCAGCTTACGTAATGGTTAATATTAGGGGCTGGAGGAATGAGTCCTGAGAGCCGTCCTTATCTAATCCCCGTAGTATACTATACGCCTATTATAGTGCAATATAGTATGTTAGTGTATACAAAACCGACAAAAATTCCAGATCCTTTCTTGCTGTCTTCATTTGAGACCAATCGTCGCCATTTTCTTTGCCATTCTTCCTTCCCTTCTAGCGCCCATAGTAATCCTTATATCATCCCCATATAGACCCGTATAGATACCTATAGAGTACACTAGATTCACTCCCCCACTCACCCTAAACCCTAAAACCTAAACCCTTTAGCGCGCGTAAGATAAGGTCGGTGCCTCGGTCTCCTGCCCAGGCGGCGTCGCGTGTGCCGGAAACCAGTGCTGCCCAGATGGTACCTAGCTTGCTACAGGGGCCTGAATCATTAATAGGGTTTAGGAATTAGGGTTTAGGATTAGATTTGGGTTTTAGGGCTAAGTTTTTAGGGTTGAGTTTTCGGCTTTAGGTTTTAGGGTCTGGGGCTACTGGTAACAGCGAATCAACTTGAAATGAAAAACGACAATGAAATGGAAGTTGCTTTTTGGGGTTGAGGATGTAGGATAATGGAAGTTAAAACGCAAAGAGCATGGACAATAAAATGGAAACATGGTTTGAATAGGGGCTTACGAAGGGCTTATAGAGAAAGATCGCCAAGGTTCTGCTAATTTGAGATTCCTTGTACGAACATTGTACTGGATACCCTTTCATAGACCTGAAAATCGAATTCCAATTTATTGAGGCCCCTGCGGTGTGTTTTCTTCTCTCTAGGGCATCAGGGTGGATTACATCGGGGCGACTGCAGGGGTCCATTCCTTCATTCCTTTCGAAGCACCATCTAATATATGTCTCCCTCTTGTTTCTTCTTACTTTCTTTCCGTTGCTTTTGCATGGCTGCACTGGTTCCTCCAAGATGTCGGCCATCCCAGACGCCAAACGAACCCCAGACCCTGCAAACCTAAACCCCAACACTAAACCTTACACCTTACATCCTAAACCCTAAACTCCCTAAACCCTAAACACTAGCAGCCCCAGGTACAATTTGCCCTTCAGCAGACGCCAGCTTCAAGAACTGCCGCGTGCAAAATAAGTCGCAAGACTGCACGTCCGGCGAGAGCGGCAACACGTTGGGATTTGAGAGAGGGTTAGGGTTTAGGGTTTAGGTTTTTAGGGCTGAGGGGTTGATGTTTGGGGTTTACGGTTAGGGGTTTAGGGTCCGGGGTTAGGTAGGATGCAGAAATCAACACAAACCTTCAGGCGTAAAAGACTTGAAAGTCTTACGCCTTGGCGGGTCTGCAGTATTATAGCAGTTTAGGGTCGAGATTGGGGTCTTCCTGTTTGGGAAACTACCACGTCGCCCTAGTAGTCTCACCCTGTAAAGTCCCTGAATGCTAGCGTTTTTTGATCATGTTCAAAAGCTTTTCCTGATGAAATCTCCCTGAAAGCCGCCCCGCATTAGTTATCCTGAATCCTGCATATCCCTCCTTTCCTTTGTATTGCATTTAATTTTATTACCCCTTTGAACCGCTTAAAAGGCTTGAAGATCCAATGAGTAGTTCGAGCGTCTAGGGTTTAGGGTAATTGCGAAGGAATGTCAGTGGATGCTGCCAATTTCTCATGAATGCCAGCAAGTGCAGATGTTGAAGATTCGGGGGGGGTTTTGTAGGACGGGATGTCAAAGCCCCAAACAGGTACGGCCACCACGGCCGCCCCTAGCAATTCGGCGGCCACAACGGCCGCCCCCACAACGGCCGCCCCTAGCAATTCGGCCGTCACCCTGGATTCTCGGTTAGCATTTGGGAGTCGGCTTCGGTGTCCAAACGGGCTCCGCAAGCCCAAACCCAAATTCCATTGGAGTGCCAATGGGCCTCTGCAAGCCTTGAAGGTTTAGGGTAAGGGTTTAAGGTTACTTGGGAATGTGGAGTTTTAAGATGGGGAATGGTTTAATTTATAGGGGCTATTGCAAGGTGATTGGAATTTTGGTTGTGCATATGTGGGATTCGATAGATTCCCCAAACCCCTAATCGTACTGGGGGTAAGCAGGTGAAGAGGGAATATCTTATATGGGGATTATATAGGGATTACTTTCCTTCATTCCCTTCTGCCAGCCAGGACTGTTCAGGTGACACATTTATTGATTGCTGGACCTTCTTCTCAGCTCCTGACCCCACTCACGGAGACGTCGTGTACGTGCCTGAAAGTACGGCTATGGACCTGGGCTTGTATTCCGTGCAAGATGACGTGGTGTATCTCAAAAGCTTGGTTGGTCAGAACGGGCCGGCCAAGAGTATCAGGCTTCAGACTCTAGAAAGGTCAGTGGTAGCCTTTCGCCCTTTTCGGCTTTGTAAAATTCAGCACCTCGCAATAGGATACCCTCCTTGTTGTGTTTTGGTCATGGGGCTACTGTACTAGTGTAGTCTCCTCGGGAAATTTCTTTTTTTTTTCACCAAATATAGTATAACCCTAGAGAACTAAGCAATTGTTATTCATGATAGGCCCTAAACCCTAAACTCCAAGGTCTAGAAAGGTCTATCAAGCCGGGCATGTCTTCTTGATCGACATCCAGCACATGCCCACGGGTCACTCACTGGTGCTTCAAGGGAAGTGGAGAAGGGAGAAGTGAATGGGTTTAGGGTTTTAGGGTTTTAAGGTTTAGGGTTTACGGTTTTAGGTTTTATGAGAAGGGGATTGTACAGTACGTAATCTTGCTATCCCGAAACAGTTTGCAGAGGTATACTCCCAGAACTGTACCTATGTCCACTCCCCAGACATTCCCCTAGACCCTGAAACCTAAGGGTTTAGGGTTGAGATCCGAAACCCGAAGCCCAAGTCCCTAGATCCTCCTTTAACACCAGTAAGGTCAGGGAACTTGGCCAGCTTGGTGGTCCTTTGGGCCGGATTGGCCGAACAATGGAGAGATTGACACAATTGAAACAGTGAACCTCGGACAGTATTGATATTTTTAGAGTACAGGCCCAACAAGTAAGAGTCCCCGTATCAAAATAGCAACATGCAATGCTATTTTTTTCATATGAGCACGACATGGCAACATGTTGATACAGGAACATCGAGAATGTTGTGCAGTCCACCCTACACACCAGTGCCTGGGTCGTTGCTGGTAGGGTTTATAGGGTTCGGGTTAAGGTCTTCCTCCCGTTTGGGTGGTCTCCGTGAAGAGGATGCCGGTGCTTGCAGGACGCGTGGGGTCGGAATTGTGCTTTAATGAAGTTTAAGTCAAGGAAGATCATGCAGAGCACACCAAGAATACAAGCTACATGCTTCAGTTGGAGGGCTGTAGAATCCGAGAAGCATCGTAGAACAACTGGCGCTGTACTGGCAACAAGATAATTAAAGATGATGTCTTGTAATATCCTGCATGCAACCGCTAAAGGAGACTGTAATCACCCGAGTCCCAAAACTTGCCGTTCAACCTTGTCAACATCCCTTCCACTTTGGAAGCCTGAGCCCCAAGTCCAATTTCAGGCCTGGCGGCAAGCGCCGCTCTGGCCGGCCGCCCCCGCCCTCCCAGCCCCCATTTCAAAACCAGCCCACCCCCACCCCAGCTTTGCTAATGCTCATGGTTGAAAGAAAAGTGAAAAACATGTTCTTGCCACTTGGGATTGTATTTTAGGGTGGGAAGTTTTGTTTCTCTTTTTTTCTCTTTTGTTTTACTGGAACTGACCCAAGATGGGGTCCCTATGTTGCTGATGGTGGTAGTGTATGGGGCACGTAAACGAGCATCGTCTGCACAATTGGGACCCCATGTTGGGTAGAAAACCCACGAGAAACCAACCAGGGCACTTTGAAAGTGTGTTTTTTTAATGCAGGTTTCATGCTCTGGCCTAGATTTAACAGCTGTCGCGCTTCAGAAGCCGCCTTTTCTCATTGTTGTACAGATATCGTAGGTTGAGGTGGTGTACATACAATGGTAGCATAGGAGCCTCCAAAGTGCAGGGAATAATGGACAAAATCTTCCAAAACCATGCAACATGCCAGGTTGCAGAGTTTGGCCCGAGTAATGCATGCAGAGAGCATAGGCCGCAACAATATTTCGATCATAACGCAACGTCGTGAATTTGACCGCGGTGCCGCTGCTGCAATGCCTTGCAGATGGCGTGGAAGTCGGCTATGCTGCCAGGATAGCCCCCCAGGTTTTCACTGTTTGAGACTGCAACACGCTCCCAAAGGACACCTTAATCCCAAACCCTAAATTAAGACCCCAAACCCAAGACCCTACGCCCTAGATCTTAAAGACTAGACCCAAAACCTTAGATCTGAAACCCAAATCCTAGAGCCCAGAACCACCAAAAAAAAAATAGGTGATGGATGTTACATGTACGGCGTTGATGGGATCAGCACTCCGAACTGCGTGTCAGGGCAAGGGCAGTCTGGCTGCGGAGTCAACGGTGCCTTGTGGCGGACTTTAAACAAGGGTTTGGGGTTTTGTGGGTTTAAGATTTGGGGCTTTGAGTCTAGGATTTGGGGTATAGGGGCTGGGGTCTAAGGTTTAGGGTGTGGAGTTCGGGGTCTTCGGTTTATGGTTCTGACTCAAGGGCTAGTCAGGATTCGGGAAAATTGTCGAGCTTTATTCGCCCTAAAGCCTTGTATATGGGGGTTGATTTACAGAACCTCTGGGGAAATTTATTTCAGGTTCCTGTATGACGGATTGTTTTAAGGTAATTGGTCTTCCATCATGGACATCTGGGGAACAATTCTTAAGCAACTACCACATACCTTCTGAACCCAGAGAATCCTTGTCAATCAAGAATGTCTCCACATCCGCAAGCCCTAGACAGCGGTAGTTTCCATCAACAAGGCGACCCAATATAGACCACACCATACTCTCATTCTGAGGACCCCTAAGCAGGGACCCTAACACTGGAAACTCCCCCAACCCTAAAGCCTAAACAAGTTGCCGGCTTAACCCCGTGCCAAGTGCGGCAAACGTAAACGTCCGAGGGTTTGTAAAAAAAAGCCGTCACCTACAGTAAAGCTCTTACTCTGCAGAAGGTCCCGACAATAGCGGGGGCCCCGGCTTCAATGCCAATGGAGGCGGAGTCTTTGCCACCCAGTGGACAACCGAGGCACTGCCCTTTCGAAGGTTAGGGTGGGGTGGGGGTTTAGAGGTTTAGGGATTAGGGTTTATACGAGCTAAATTTTAAGTTGTTGGGTTACTTGGGTGGGTCTGTTGGTCCTTGCAGCAGCTTGCTTGTGTTAAGACCCTCCGATGGTAGTTATCATCCTTTGGATTTTCTCAGATAAGCCGTTTCCTTGATACAAGCCTTACGTAGCCCTTACATACGTTCTCCATCAAGACCATGCAATCAAGATACCGGCCTTACAACCTGCGCCTAGTCAGAAAAGAATCAGAAGCTGTCGTCACAGAACCGTCCAGCAAGGCCATCTACATCTGGTTTTGGCCCCGTGACAAGATTCCAGCGGATCTCGACCAAGGGAACACATTGTCCTGGGGAACGCCTTACGTGACCTTCCCCTTCTGGAACTGTCCTTCGTGGCACTTCAATGATCAACAGCTCGTGATCAATCTGGACTTTTGTGGCGATTGGGCAGGTTCAGTGTTTCCAGGTGGGATCGACAAGCTGGTGCCTAGTAGAACGTGAACAAATCCCGAAGCCATCCCAAGCTGTACTTCCCAATGACAGGGTTTAGGGCCCAGGGCTGAAGACCTAGGGTTTAGGGTTCCTTCCCTACTCATTTCCAGGCGGGAACCAAGCTTGCATTGAGTATGTCCAGAACCCAGCCAATATCGGTGCGCTCTCGGAGGCGTATTGGGCGATCAATTACGTGAAGGTCCTGTTTTGAATGGGCTTAGCGTTTAGGGTATGTCATGGGGGAGTTCATGAGGCCTTAGCTATGTGTATCTTGTCCTCCTTAAGGTACCCCTAACACCCTCCCCCACAACCCCCATGACTATGATACCTGCAGTTTCATTGTGGTTTCAAGCAAAGGACCAAAGGGGTCCCTTGTTCGTTCGTGATAATTCAGGAGAAACCACCAGGCATGCATCCACTGAAAACGCAGCACGGGAAAGGGTTGTGTAGAGGGAGGTGGGTTAGGAGAACCCCAAAGCCTTGAACCTTGAAACCTAAATGAGCAGCGTTTTTTTAAAGTA